TGGTGTCCTTCTGAAGTGAATATCCCTTAAAAATGGAAATTGCTGTATTTGCAACAGATGGGATGAGAGATGTCCACTTGGTTTATTCCCCTACATATATCTAATTTAAAGTTCTTTACCCTTTCTATTTCCCTCCTTGTAGTGGAAGAAGAGGAAACCTCTCTGTCTTACTGCAAACCAGTGCTGAGAAAGCAAAGGCTTTTATCTTTGTTTCTCAAGTGAATATACTGAATGTATATTCTTTGTCTTTTTAAAATGATTTTTTTGGATACTTGTGAATTAAACACACTCATTCTTCAGGTGATCCTCATCTTCTGCACTTGTGTTTATTGGCACTTTTTGAAGTGGGATCAAAGCAAACTTGAACGTAGATTTTTTTGGAAAAGGAGAAAATTAACCTAACAGGTGATTAATTGCCTGGGGTCCCACAAGCAGGAGCTGACCCCTGCAGCAGGTTCCTGAGGCTCTGACTCCCATGCCAGGCACCACGTCTGGTCAGATGAAGCAGCGAAGACTTTGCCGGATCAGTTCCAGTGACTGGATAAATAACGTGTCTCCAGCTGAAAGAAAACTCCACAATATATCTCTCTTTGGTGCCATAGCCACAGACTAAGATGTTAAGAAGACTTGATAGTGCTTATGAGAAACATGAGCTTCCCTAATCGCTCATTGATCTGTTATTCTGGGCAGAACGATGAAGTTTTTTGGCTGTTATTTTGCTCCATTTCTCTCAGATCTGTTTGACTCGAGCCGAAGAACAATTTAAGATGGCAGTGAATAATCTTGCCTGTTACTCCCACCTGACAGGATAATTCCGCCTTTCACGTCGGGACCTTAAAAGTGCTTTACCTGTGCTCTGTTAAAACTAGTTGCCATGAAGGAAACAGGTTGTCTAGTGCTCGTTTGTACAGTGAATCACCTGGGAAAGGCGGCCATTTTATGGTGGCGGCCAAGGCAGCCATTTTGTGGTGGTGGCCAAGGCGGCCATTTTGTGTCAGCCCCTGAGGCGCAGCAGCCGCCCAGCTGGAGGCACGAGGGGTTTGGGGGGACACAGCTTCCATCGTGGTCATTGTCATCAAGAGGTAGCATGTTTTAATGCTTAAAAACAAGCTGTTCCTGTGTCAGGCAAGGCGGGGGCGGGCAGGAGGTGGGTCTGCAGGCTGCTGTGTCTGGTCGGGCGGCTCAGGGTGGCTCTGGGCTCTGAGGGCAGCACAGAGCGGAGCACAAGGACTCGTCTCCCCGCTGGGAATGGATGTAGATGAAGAGCTTTTCTCTGGTAAATACATCAGGCTTGGATCCTGCAGCTCGGCATGGCTTCAGGGCGGCTCGTGAGGCTTTAGATTTGTCATGGATTGTTACCCTTTTCTTTTCTCCCTACTCCTTTCCTTCCCTGCTAGCAGCCTGCCCTCCCTGATCCCAGGGTCTGACACCTCACAGGCCCTCTCCGAGGAGCAGGCACCTTTGGCTCTTGAACCCTCAGACGTGTCTCATCTGGTTCTGAGCAGCCAGGCATCTGCTCAGAGGCCCTGACAAACAGCATCCCTTGTCCTTTTGTGACAAGGAGCCTGGGTTTTTCAGCCTGTTCCTCGTTTAAATCTATATGCTCATTCATGCTGCTGTGCGCAAACAGCTTTCAGGAGCCAGGATGAATTTACTGAAGCAGCTGGGATGCTACAGGAGCCTTAGCCTGTTGCTGCCTCACTCAGTGACTTCTTCACATAACAGGTCATGTCTCAAGGGCTGGATAGATGACAAGGAAAAGCAAGGCCGTGCTGGCCAGGAATTCCCAGTAAAAGCAATGCTGTAATGAGGGGTGAGGGTGAGTCCTGCAGAACCACAGTGGTCAGCATGCAAGACTGGAAGTTGCCAGAGTTAACTTGGTTTTCCCCATTGGAAAGTTTTAGCTATAAGTCTGTTGGTGATTAATCTGCCTCTTTCCATTGTTGTAGGTTACGGGAAGAAAAATGCACTTACTTGTGTCCTTGTCTCCTTTATTTTTTCATTCCAAAGGGACAGATGCATTCATGAGATATGTGTTCCTGCAAGGACCTCAAGCCCTAGCAGCAGAATCGAGCTAGGAGTTGACACTCAAACTGCAGCTGCTGAGAATCACTCCACCTTCTTGGTGGAATGCAGATCAGTGCTGAAGTAAAAGCAACTCAAATAGAGCATTTGATTAGTTGAGCTTCTACTTGAGTTCAGGATACCTGAACAGGAAAGGGTTCAGTACACAAAGGATGAAAAGTTCAAATCATGCCTAACCTTGGCATGAGTTGCAAAGGAGCAGATCAGGCTGGCTGATCCTGTCTGGTGTGAGGATTTGTGAGTCTGCATGGAAGCGAACAGGCATTTTTGCCATAACTCCAACAGGGCTTGGAGTGAGCTCCAAGTGGGCAGGTGTCCATTTTCAGTAAGAATCATGTCAAAACTTGCAGTCACTGACAAAGTGACAACACTGACCAGGAGCACTCAAAACTTGAGCTGCCCGCTGCACTTCTAGTTAATTTTTCAAGCTGAACGGGTCAGAAAACACACCATCCTGAAACATATTCTTTCTCTGCATTTTTCATCCAAATATAAATTAAAAAATAAAACATCAAAATAATATAACGGGCCACTAGTTTTGGTTGGTCAGGTTGCTCTGTTCCAGTAAATTAGAAACAATTATGTTTATTTTCATAATTTAGTTTTGCATGGATTCTGCAGCAAATAAGTGGAAGCAAAGGGACTGGACAGGAGCCTCTGGCTGGTCAAAATACTTTCCATAATTTGTCATTTCAGCTGGACAAACCACATAAATAAAGTATGGGGCTCCTGGGGTAGTTCACAATGAACAGCAGAGCTTTGGTCTTCTCTCTCTTTTTTTTTTTTTTTTAGCTTCAGAATGAAGATTTGCTGCTGAATGTGCATGTGTAATTTCAGCGCCGTGCTGAATTAGGGCTTGTTGTTTGGCAGTAAATAAGACATAATCTAAAAATAGAAACCATGGCTGTAAGTGACAAAAATTGGCAGGGAGGACTTGGTCAGATGCAGTTTTGGAACTGCTTTTCATTTTTTTCAATTCAATTTCAAGTTAAACATCCCTTTAAATTAATTAGAGCAATCACAGTATCCGTAGAATATCACTGGAAAAACGGAAGCTGTGAGTATAATTTTAATATTTCCTAAATTCTGAAGAGAGGACAAAAAAGCCAGCCTAAGGAAATTCTTGCCTATGATAAGAAACAAATTCCTGAACAAACTGGCTAAGCTGAAATGTCTAAAAGGAAAGAGCTATCATGAAAGTGCTGGAAAGCTTCTGATTATAATGGAATCAGTGTCCCAGGGTATAATGCAGCTCTACATTTAAGGCTGAGATACTGAACCATACTTCTCAACCTAGCTCAACTCACTGGGTTCTCATCAAAGTTCTGTAATGACACTGTGCTCTCTTTAGATGCCATGCAAGTCTTGAAATAGTTCCAGAGCTTTTTCAGCAGCTTCAACTGAGTAACAGACATTTGACGTTAGAAGGACAGCCTGCAATTTGTGGCATAAGAATCCTTCCTTATGCACACTGCCACTCTCATTAATAATCTTACAAACTTCCCAAAATTAAATTAAAAGACTCTTCCACAATTATATATATAAAATTGTGGCAACAGCACTGAACCATAAAAGCAAAAGCTTGTCCTTTGTGCTGCAAATCCATGTCACCTTTCTTTATTAATGATACATACACAGCACATTTAATGTGATGCCTGCTATTGTTTGCCTGTTTGTTTTTATTACAATATTGACTGCAGCCCTCATCATGTTAGATATAGTCTGTACAAGTTACTCTAAGCAGAATTTTTCCTTCTGTGTATTGTTTAAGGTATTGACTTTGCCAAAGGGAAGAAAAAAGTGCAAGCATCCACTTAAGCACACAAGTAGTTTTATTCATTTTGGTCCATTAGATATGCATACACACATAAATATACTTGTATGTTGTTGATTTCTAGAAACAACTGAGGTCTATTAATGTTTTGGACTTAAAATAACTGTTTCTAGTTATTGGGTTTTGGTTTGTTTTTTTTCCCTTTGCAACCTGAGCAGGCAATTTCTGAGTATAAGCAATAGGGTTATTGAGTAGTTGATCTAAAGCAAACAAAGATTTCAGCTAAACCGAAGGTTCAGCAATCATTTTGCAAAGTGTTTTCATACAGGTTTTGATCAAAGTCTGGGGTATATAGTAGGTATGGTTCCAGCACTTCTGATTGAAACTTGAAGTGCAGATCTCTGCAAATGTTCAGTGATGGCTTTAATTTAGAAGTACAAAAGTGCATGTTAATACATAGAATCACAGAATGGTTTGGGTTAGAAGGGACTTTAAAGATCATACTGTTCCGACCCCCCTGCATGGGCAGGGACACCTCCCACTAGATCAGGTTGCTCCAAGCCCCGTCCAAACTGCCCTTGAACACTTCCAGGGATGGGGCAGCCACAACTTCCCTGGGCAACCTTTTCCAGTGTCTCACCACTCTCAGAATTCCTTCCTAATGCTTAACCTATATCTCTTCCAATTTAAAGCCATTGCTCATTGTCCTATCACTCTAGGTTCTTGTAAAAGTCCCTCCCCAGCTTACTTGTAGGTCCCCTTTAGGTACTGGAAAGTCTCTGTGAGGTCTCCCTGGAGCCTCCTCTCCTCCAGGATGAACAACCCCAACTCTGGGTTCTGCTCATGTCCTGCAGAGGCCTTTGACATGCTTTGAGTTGTGTGCAGTCGTCCTTTTGTGCGTCAGTAATATTTACTGCGAATTTCTGCTCAATTTTAATAAAACTTAAAAGAATATATGTCTCTGTATTTTCAACTTTTCCAACCACTATCTCTAAAATAATCTGTTAAATTGAAAGAGAAATGTGGTTAAAATCAATGTTGAAACAGAATTTGTTTTCCAAAGTTGTCTTGTGTTTCTTTTTTTTTTTTTTTTTCAGGGTATGATAATTTCTAATATGTTTGTTTAATTTATGTCTTTCAGTCTATCCGAGAAGTCACAGGGTACGTTTTGGTGGCTTTGAATCAGTTTGAATACCTTCCCTTGGAGAACCTGCGCATCGTCCGTGGGACCAAACTCTACGAAGAGAGATATGCTTTGGCTATATTTCTTAACTACAGAAAGGATGGGAACTTTGGACTCAGGGAACTTGGCTTGAAGAACTTAACAGGTAAGTGAAACTTGCCAATAATATGCATCAGTTGCCAGAAAAAAATGAGCTTGCTGAATATTTGCTTCAGTGCCCTCAGTCACTTGCATTCTGCAAATAGCAGAGGTACCACAAGAGGCTGGCAGTTGTGCCTTGTTTGAGAGGCTCAATGGTACTTCATTTCATTCCTTTTTTGGTTCACAACTGAACTTTTCTCAGTACTGATCAAGGACTGTGTATGGAATTCATGCCTAGAGCATGGTCAAAAATAGTTGCTGAAAGAGTAGATGAACTTTTTCTTCATGCTGAGACCATGAGTATGTTGGTTTCCTTGTGATCCTTGGTTATTGCACGTGTTGCTTTAGGTGTTATGTATTAACTGCCAAGTTAACTTAGCTTTAGCATCCTCTCTGCCTCTGTGCTTGCTGCTGCCTGTGTCACTAATACTGCTGCACTTGGTGGGGGGAGAGGGAGATGGTATCTTTAGTACATGTAATTTTAGAACTCTATTTTCTAAGAAAAAATTGTTTATTATGTATAGTGAGAAAAATGCTTATTTTCTGTAGACAAAAATTTAAGCCAAGTCCCTGGTTTTATGTTTGTTTCTAAGTGTGAGGCTGGATCAAAATTTCACTTTCTCCCAGCTGAAGATCTACAGTCAGTGGTTTGGGAGATTAAAAATCAACTAAATATCACTGGACTGTAACTTAATAAAGTGCAAGCAGCAGCAAGCTCTTTTTAGGGAGTTCGCTGGAAGTATTTTATTTATACCTGGTTCCTCATGAGCTATGAGAATTTCTACCCTAAGCTTTGATGATAAGCTATTTCTGCTAGTGGCTAAATGCTGACTGATAATCACTGACTTGAGCTGGATGTGGAGTTTGAACCTGAGTGCTGAAAGGTGGGAGCCTTCTGAGCTATATTTAGGCAGCCTTCACTCTGCTTTTTTCATGTTGCAGTGTTCAGAGTGGCACACAAGTGCCTACAGTTCCTCATTGTTCAAGCCTCACTGGGCCATACAACTAAGGTTTCAAAAACAGGAGGGAAAAGGTGGCTTGAAATATTTTACAAGATAAAACAGTTTTGACTGACTCTTTCTGATCAGCCTCTTTCTTCCAGTTATCTTTTTAATAATCTTCTTTACTGAGAGCATCATGCTGGTATCAGAGTGCTTTCCAAGGTATCTAAATCCCTGCTATCCACTACTCTTCACTCTATCATTATAAGCCACGTTCCTCTTCTTCTATTCCCACATTTCTTCCCATCTTTCTGATTTAGGGTGTTCTTTGTAACTGCCTATGCCTTCATATAGTAGAGAGCCATAATGGTATAGTATGTTGAGTAATAATAGTATCATCTGTTTTTCCACATACTTTGCTTGCCTGTGGTGCTCAAAATGCTTTGTAAAAGACATTAGGCTGGGTGAAACTGAGACACAGAGGTGATGCCAAAGCCAGAGAAGGACTGGAACCCTTTCCTCTTGGGTCTGGGGCTGCTGTTCTGCCAGGAAGTGAATGTTTGCTTTGCAGTGCTTGTTTAGCCATGGCCTTGCTGCTTAGTAAGGTAAAAAACTATTTTGTGGGCTCCAGCTCAAGATCTTTTTCTTGAACCAGCTGCCCCACACCAGTAGGTAGTTCATACGACTACAGAGATTCTCTCTGGAAGCAGCTTTTATATGAAAGGCACAGTACCAAAACTGCCCAACAAATAGTTGGACTTTATTTTCAAGTGTCATGAGAAAACCTGACTTAGCTCAGCCTCTGAATCTTTCCTAACATGAGTTCGTTGCAGTCACTTCATCTGATTTAGGCATTTACAAAGCCCTGTGATGGGATAATTTGGCTCAAAATGTATAGTTGTCACTTGGAAGAAAAGTGTCCTAATAACACAAGTTTATGGCCTCTGAGCACTTAAAATAGCTTTTGGGTGCTGAATATGAGCCAGTTTGTGCTTCAAAATACTCTTAATGTTTTCTAAATAGCATGTGCTAGGAATCAGTATTTTAAGCAGCAGTTCTTTCACCATTTTGCATACTGGTTACAATGCACCTGGCTACTTTAACCCAAATGCTCCCCCTGAAGCATATTGATAGTTAAATTTATTTTCCTAATGCACCCTTAACATTAGTAGCTGCATAAAAATAACTGATGGATGTGATGTTGTAAGGCTGCAATAGACCAGCTGTGTTTGAACCTATTCTGTGCTTGCCAACTTCTTGGTATTTACATCACAAACAGCCAGTGATTTGTTATTAAATTTAAGATTAATCAGCCCCTGTGAACTTGGAACCTTCAAGCTTCTAGTCCACTGCAGATTTCAAAAGATGGGCTTTGAATGGTATGTCTCTTCCACTTGAGTAAAATATAAAGATAACTCCTGCCTTGCATATGAAGAACTATGTTTCCAGGGCTTATGCCTTGTTTGCAGAAGTTTGGGAAGTTCTGTTCTTATTTGTGCAATGCTTGGATGATGGGATCCTGAGGGTATTTCTGCCCAGTACTACACAATATAAAGACACTACTCCCTGTGTTAAATCAATAAGGAAGCTGCTCTCACCTGCACATTATCCTCAGACTTCACCAGAGACAGGGTTTCAGCCTCCTCTGCTGTGCCATTGCATTATTTTCAGCATGTTGTTAACAGCTGTGTTTTTATTGCCAGATACGTCTGCCAGGTTTTCATATTTAAATGTAACTTTAAATGCTTGAATTTCCTTCCTTATGCTATAAAAAATGACAGCTACGAAGGCAGTAGGTTTTATCTCAGACAGAAAACGTGATGCAGTTCTCACTCACAATATGTCTGTCAACACGACAGGGAGCTTTGTTTGTGTGGCACAGGCCAGAACTATGTCCTAAAATTTCTGTGACACTTGCAAAAACTCTTACAAAAATCCTTTTCTCACTTGTTATAAAAACTTAGTCAATGATTCCACAGAAGTGTCAAAACCAAACAGAAATTGAACTAATGAAGTGGCTGCTGCCATCTCTGCTGGACTAATCTCAGCTTGCAGATTCAGCTGCCAAATAGCCTGAAAGTAAAAAGGAAGGTTTGACACACTAAATGTATTATTCAGCCTGAGATTAGCAGAATAACTTGATGCTGAGGGAGCAGGTATGCCACCTTTTTCCCTTCATTGCCTGTGAGCTACTGCAAATTGTTCCTGTCTTCCCCAGGTAGCTTGGCAGTCAACCTTAACTTATCCAATGAAAGGGCATAATCATTGTTCACACTCTAAATATAGAGAATACCTGATGGCTGCATTTCATTACTGCATTTATCTTCATGAGATGAGAAAGAGGGATAACTCACAGGTGCCAAAACCACTTCTGAGGTATCCCATATTTTCCCCTGAGTGAAGATGAATAAGAGATCTAGAGAAAATGATGTATCTTTCACTGAGCAGTGATAGCCTCATCTCCCCTATTGGCCTTGGGGACATGGGCTCCCTGCGTGTGCAACCATTGAATTCCTTTAATATATTAGAATAAATTTGGCTTAGCAGCAATTACTCTAGCTACACAAAAGAGCAGCAAAAGATGTTGTTTCTTAACTGCCTGTTTTGCAGGAATG